CTTAAAATACCATCTTGACAAATCTTGATTTTTTGCAACACAAGAATTAGAAAAAGAATAGATACGTCGTACTGTATGATATGATAAGATGTTTTATCTGTTAAATTTATAGTTTGAGTAATTTTGCAAATTAGCCTATAGTTTAGCCTTGCATTGGCTAAAACATGTTCATCAAAATCATTTCAAGTTAAGTACTGTATTTTTGGGACTGTAAGTCGCTCATGAGTATAAGTCGCACCAGCCAAATAATGCATAATGAAAAAGAAAAAATACATATATAAAAAAGTGTGAATTATAGTCCAGAAATTACAGTATTTGACAATTAATTAGGGATGAATTGCCTTATTTTGTTGTACTCACTTAAGTATATTCCTCTCCATACACAGTACACACCAAGTACAGGAGACCAAAGAGTCGACAGCATCGTTTCAAAGCTTTTCTCAGACATAAATCCTCGTTTAAAACTTCTGCTCCTTCCACACTTCTCACTCCCATCAGATTTTCTTAACAAGTCTTATAACCAAGTCATAACAGGGTCTCATGTTTGGCTTTTGCCGCCCAACCTGCACACCCCCCAGTCTTCTGCCACAGGAACCCCACCGACTGTGTTGCTTAATTAGTGGCTGATTGAAAGAGAAGTTCAGGACCTGAGAAAACTTCGCAAAAGCTGAGTAGGAAGACCAGGGGTGCAGAGAAAGCAGAGCGAGAAATGAGAGAGACAAGGGTACGGGAAGAGACCTCTCTCTTCACGAGACAATTGGAGACAGGACAGGAGATTCCTGGACCTCGACAGCTTCAGACTAAGACACGGCTTAATTAATGTTTTGAGCTATACCTTCACCCTCTCTTCTTCAGCTCCGAGCTCACCTTTTCTTTTTCTTTTTTTGTGCTATTTGTATCTTAGAGAAAACACTGGTGGCATTTTCACTCAGAAACAATAAAATATTAATCACAAAACTTGTGAGAACCAGCCTGCGCTGCTTTGCAATTTAAATTACCTGAGACTTCCTGGCAATTAAGGAAGAGTGAAAAATTGCTATTATAAACTCTCTCTGTGTGTGTGTGTGTGTTTCACAACATATCTGCAAGAGATATTACCAAGTACTTTTCTTGTATCCGATCATTTAAATACTGGCTGGTAATCACAGAGTATCAAGTAAGAAAACATGACAACAGTGGCAGCAGCTGCTAACAACCTCACAGCTTTTTAAATAGATCCAGATGACACTTAACAAGAATAAATCAGAAGGGTTTTTTTCCATCCATATGACAAACATCAAGCAAGAGATGGAAAGCAGCAATAACAATTTGCAGGAGCTGAGTTGTTGTGCGCTAATCAACAGACTCCTTCAACAGGAGAAGGTTCATTTTTCAGAGAAACGCAGGGAATGACAGTTTGAATGAGTCGCATGACAAATGGAGGATAATGCACATGGTATGAAGAAAATGAATTTCGTTGCATTACACTGTGTACCCAGCAGAGATCTCCGCAGATACTGTTGTTTTTCATAAAGGTAATGGAGGTCGTCAGATCTAGATAAAAATAGAGTTCCAGCTGATGTGATTGACGAGATACAGAGTGGAGGAAACTGAGACGAGCTTCAGTTCTGTGAGTGCAAAAAATAAAATACTTCCAGACTAGGGTAATTAATTCTAAAACCTATCCAGATCATGATGTAATATTTAAGGGAGATGGCTGTTCATACACCATGAAACTTAATTAACTTAATTTGGTTCAATAGATTGCATGAAAATATGACTATCCTCTCACTTTTAATGCAACTTTGGCCACAGCCCAAGTAAGAAGCTGGGACTTGAAGAAATCACAATCTGATATACTGCATGAGGAGGTAAAGTACTTTTACTTTAATTTTTATTGTTATAGACAAAATTCATCTTTTATTGTTATTTATTATTAGGAATAATCAAATTCATATCAGAACTTTGACTCTTTTCCATTTTATACAAGAATTATTTTGTTAAAAAAAAATAGGTTCATACAGGAAACTACATACATTTCAGAAATATTTGTACTTAAGTTTGATGAAAATATTAATATTAAATTAAAATTAATATTATTCAATCCAAAGTGAGAGGATTGGAAAAGTCCTGTATTGCCGTATCTACTGTACAAAATGATTTGCATGTATCCAACTAAAGGCTGTGCCAAAACTACTCGGCCTCAGAGAGTAAGACGATGCAGTTGATACGTGTGATACGATGAAAATATGCTACTATTTTCATATAACAGAGACCAGTGAAGAAAAACGCTCCCTACCAAACGAACAGACGTATTTGTACGGGTCCTGTGTGAAAATTGCAGCACATGTGTGAGTATCCAAGGGAGGAGGGGGGTGTGATTGCACCCCCTCCTCTCGACATCTTTGGTCTTATGCTTACCGGTACTTTCACAGGAGAAGAACCTGAGGAGAGTGAGACCGGGAGCCCATTTATATTCATTACAGAGAGACGGCCCGCTCTCACTCTGCCAGTCCTGCCTCCGTCTCTCTGTCACACACCTCAGCCCGCCGGGAAGAACAGGCCGACAAACCAACGGACAGATTCAACTTCCTCTGTATACACAAAAGCTAAGCGACATGATCTGCCGTCCCTATCTGGAAGAGAGCTTGAACCTGCCGGCTTCCAGATAGTGAGCAGTTCATTTTAATGAACGCTGCATTCAGCCGTCTCACCGACACTGTGCAGACCCGGCTCATACGTCAGCTGATGCCATAATAACGCCTGCCCTGTGATGATGCCTCCGTCTGTAAATTTTACATGGAGCTGTCATATATCTCTGCACGTATGTTTGCTCCATCTGCACATCTGATAATGTAAA